CGCTCGAAGTTTTTGACACTCCGTTCAAGACTGCTCGAAGCGAAGTTGTTGTTGACTCCGGTCGTTGAATGCAATGATGGGGTAAATACAGACTGTAGACAGGCGTCTTGTTGCATGGCGACATTTTCATATGACCTAATTCCAAGTACTCGTGAATAAATGATTTATATTCTTTTTAAATATCTTTTCGGTAAGTAAATCTTTTTTCTAACTGTTTAAACTGCGCTATTGCTCTTGATTTTGATTCTCCCAATTTTTGAACTGCCTCTGATATAAATGGCAATCGAACTATGTATTTACCATCTTCTTGCCTTTTTGTCGTGTTTTTGAAATACTCCAGACATTGAGCATCTTCTTGGGTCATAGTTAGTTCGTCAGGTATGTTTTCTATCTTTCAAAAACGTTGAATCTCATCTATATTGTTCATAATAACGTTGCATTTATAGGATTTTACGTTGCCACATAAAATCCACCCAAGACGTGTTTGCTGTGCCACAGGTTGTGATTGTTCTGATGAAATGATACCGCCTAATATGATAGAAGAATAGACGTCCGCCCCCAGCAACAAGTCTACTGGGCGGCTCATGTTGAATTAGGATCGGCGAGTTGAATGTTTTCTAGATATGACCAGTCTGATTTGTCGAATGTCTTGTTGGGCAGATTGTTAATTAAGTTTTTCATGATAAACACATCTGATGTAAATTGATAGTCGCTGTAAGCAGATGGGCAAGTTATGTTAATAACAACTTTACAGTTGTTTTCCTTTGCTCCTACTCTGAAAATGACACCTTTGCACCTCTGTCGAGGAAGTTGTAACATTTGAGCTGCCTTCTCGTTAATCAGGGAGGTCTGGGAACCCTGATCAATCAGCGCTCGAATTTTGACATAAGTGCCATTAACAAACTGTACTTTTACTCATGCTGTTGCTAATAGGGTTTCATTTATATTATTCTGTAACACGTTGCTAGCATTTCTACGTTGTTCTGTTCCTGAGAGCAACGGCTTCACGTAGGCCTCGTGTATGAGTGTGTTATGTCGGCCATTACACTCGCGGCAACGTTTTTCCGATATGCAATTTTTGCCGTAGTGTTCGTAAAGACAATTGAAGCAATATTTCAATTTCGCAATTGTATTTCACCTTTCCGTTGGTTGTAATTTGAGAAAGTTGCTGCAGTGAAATATGCCGTGGTTTTCATTTTTGCATAGTGGACATCCTGCTTGTGAGTTTTTCGGTGCATAATTTGTGACTTGATTTTTATTGCTGGTAAATGATTTAAAATAATGAGGTTTCTTTTGATGAGATTTTGTTTCAGGCTGAGAAGATTTTGTTGTGGTGGCTTGTTTGCGTCGAGATGATTCTAGTGACGTAAATGTATTTTCCAAAAAATTTAAAAAATCTGCTAAAGTTGGTAAATCCTAGGATTCTTCAGTCTTTGTGAATCTCGGCATCTAGTTTTTGAGACAATATATGTACCACCAAAGGATCTCATGAACTTATGTCTATGCCAAGATTTTTTATGATATTTAGGCTTTCGTTTACGCTGTCATAAATTTTCTTAATATGTGCTGCTGATTGCTGTTGAGCGATAGGTAAATTTAAAAGAATGTTGATATGAGACCCAAAAATTAATTTGTTATTATTGTATCGATGATTCAACAAATCCCAACTAACTTGATAGTTGTCCGAACTGATATGCAGATGCTGTACCATTTTTTCCGGTTCCCCTCTAAGTTTACTTTTCAAAAACTGCATTTTTTGGGCATTTGATAAGGTTCGATTGGTATGAACTGCTTCGCAAAACAAATCCTTGAATGATACCCACTGATGATAATTGCCAGTGAACGTAGGTATGTCCATCTGGGGTTTGGACTTTTCTCGGTGACTTTCAGACCACATCTTTGTATTGATATCTTTCTTGACTTGGCAAAATTTTTGTTCATAGAAGCTGAAGGTTTCTTCACACGCTTCGTTGGAGCCATCCAATTCGCTATCCAGCTCCCAGTGTAAGGCATCGATAGCTGCCCAACGAGACTGGACAGTACGCAACAAGTCTTCGAATTTCCATTTTTCTGATACTACGAGTAATTCCAGGTTGATATTTGATAGTGTTCGTTGAAATGCTTTAAAATTGCTATTCTGTTTTTTCAACATTTCTTCTGTTTTGCTCGATGTTGATCTTGTACTTATTTGTGGCGTGATTGGATTTGTTTTAGAGACAAATTTAGGGGGCCTTAACAGTGGTGTTCCAGGTCTATCCTCTGTCAAAGGCTGATAGTTTTGGATATGCGCTCTAATGTTGTCAAATCTCTCCTTCAATCTTTCACGTTCTTGATCTATTCTTTCTCTGCTTGGTACATCCAAATCCAGTTGTGATAAATGCTGATAATTCTTCTTAAACCCAACCAATAGTTGTCTAGAATATTTAATCTGCGTTTGATATATGTAGTCTGGAGTCTTCCTATCAGACCTGTCCTTCTTGAAATAAATTAGTTATCAGATTATTTATCAAGTTAGTCGTGATAGCTGTTGCTGCGTAGTGAGGACATCGTTGTCAGACATCATGATATAGAGATAAGTAAAATGGAAAGATCTTACTTGATGTGATGCTGGTTACTGATTGTGCAGAGGTAGTGGTGGTGAGTACCCAACGAAGACTTAGATTCTCCTGATGCGCTCCAAGTTGCTACTGCTGGGCGGCGCCCCAAGATTCGCTACGCCCACAAATGCTGCTTGATCCTTGATGCTTTGTGACACCGATGGCCGGAGCTTATTGATAATGATATGATGCTGCACACTTATTAGTACAGACTGAAAAGCTATTGCACACGTCACTTTTTCCGGTCGTTAAAAACCGAATTACAGGTCCCGCTACGGAGCTCGAAGGACCATAAAGATGTACGGAACACCTTTAAATGATAGTTGATATAGGAAAAAATGATTTTATTTATAATAAATAATGATATTATACAATGATATTGATAACGATATAGAACGCGTCTACCGTGTTCGGAGCGACAACGTCAACTGCTCAAAAACTGAAGTAAATGACACAAATTATGTTGACCTAAATAAATCGCTTACACACTAAAATGTAAGGTTGCACAGCACACAATAAGAATTTTAAGAGTGCAGTTTTATTTGTATTATTACTAATTCTGTCATTCAATAAAAATAAAGAAAAATGACCTTTATTTCAAGCACATTAAAGTCTTTGGGTAGTTTTCAAAAAATTCTGTTTTCACCTGCCATTTTTTTTATGTTGTGGTTACTTTGTTATCCGTTTTAGGGCCATGGAACTTACATGGAAAGTTGAAAGTACATTATCAGCATCAAGGCTAATTCTCTACACACTTTTAAAGCAACATAAAAATAGCTAAAATTTAAATTGTAATTACATTTTCTCATTAACCTGTGTGTCCAAAGAATGAGTGTATGATAATTTTATACGTAAAATATTATACATTAGGGATATTACGAAATACAATAAAAAACTTTATTTATGTAAGCCCAGGCTATAATCTCTGCAAATCTACATACATAATACATAAACACTCACGCCTGTCACCCAGAGGGGTAGGCAGAAACTACGGACTTCCATATGACACGATCCTGACATACCTCTTTCGCCTCCTTTACATCTATATATCTACGCATACATGCTCGTCGGTTAAGGGTACTTTAAACGTGGCCCATTTTCAAAATATCGCCAATTTGGTCGATAAACTTTTTTTAGGGCGTCCCTTCCCGACTCTGCCGTTCACATCTGCCATATAAATTTGCTTTGTCACTCTTTCCTCATTCATTCTTTCTACGTGACCAAACCACCGAAGCATTCCTTTCTTAATCCTGGACACAACATCATCTTGCATACCACATTTATCTCTTATTACGCAATTTCTCACCCTGTCATTCACATTCAACCCTAGCATACTCCTTAAAGACCGCATTTCTACAGCATTTATTCTACTTTCGTGCTTCTTCTGCCACACCCAGCTTTCACTACCATACATTAAAGTAGGGACTAACACAGCATTATGAATTACCATACGTGCCTTTTTTGACACATTCTGGTTCTTCACAATAGAGTGTAGTGCCCCATTCACTCTATTCCCTGCATTTCTGTAGAAAACTCCTCTGCAAATCTGTGCCTCCTAAATCGATAAAATAGGAAAACAACGAAGAAAAAGTTTTTGTAAGCAATAATTTCTACATCACCTGTCACCTTAAATAATTTTCAATTGTACGCGACACAAATGCAACACGGAGTCCGTGCCCCTCCCGCCACGTTGCCTCAGTTGTCCGCCACAGAAGTGGACATACGTGTGCAAGTGTATTTATTGTGACCAAAAATAATCATCGAGTTGACGCCGATAAATTTGTAACCGTGAGTTCTATTTTACCTGCTACAATAATTTTAACACTTATTATACAGTTCTGGTCGAAGGTTCACTTAATTACATAGTATATGGGGTCAGCTTTGAAGTGGAGTAGGTATAACCTCGCTAAAGTAAAAGTTTGCATGTATTGATATAACGGTCATTAAACCGTTTCTAAATAACCTGTCGGTATCATACAAGTGGATGAGATATGTTCGAGTGAATGAGATCGCCTTAGCTTTCAGACAGCGCATCGATAGTGGTGATCAAAACATAGTCTTTTATTAAGCCTTATAAAAGACTAGAGTTATATTGCCTAGTAACTGACAACTAGACCTAGCCCTTTATAACTTAAGTCTATTTTTAATCATAATTATCTTAAATCTTAATTATTTTGAACTGCACTCGACCATCTTTTAAAATTATTAAAATTAATAATGTTTTAGCTTAAGTTTTAATATTGTGCAAGTTTGAGTCTAAAATAGTGGCAGTTAGTCTTAATATAAACGACAAAATGGACTTAACTTCATTTCATCACTAATACATAGTTTAGGGGGAAAGAGATATCACAAGTACTTGTACCCGAGAGTAAAGCTGTGTGTGATTTTGTTTGTAGGTCAACAATGGGTCGACCAAAAACTATTTCTACGACCAATGAGGAAAGAAAAAAACGCAAAAGAGAACTAGAACAAAAGAGATACCAGAAAATTAAGGGAGATCTAGTATTATACGCTCAATATCAACTAAAAAATAAAGCTAAATATGAGAAAAGGAAAGCACAGAAGAAAGTGATTTCTATTAAAGAGATGACATCTAGAGCCACGACAGCGCAAAAAAAACGGCGTGACGCCTTCAATGCCTATTATAAAAGAAAGAAAGATGCAAAAGCCGCTGCAATGAGATTTGTGGAGTTACATAGTCCCCCAGACAGTGAGGCTGAAGAGAATAACGAGCGTAGAATAGAATCGATTATAGTAAATAGGGACTCTCCTTCTCCTTCAATTCTCGCCTCTTCTTCATTGTTACCGATTATGCGAGACAATAAAGAAAATACTGATCCCAATCCAAGAATCACAAGATCGCAGGGAAGTCCCCTTTCTGGTTGTACATCACAGGTTTCAGAAACATCTTCAGTTCTCAGCAGAGAAATTTCCCCTTTCCAATCAATCAGAAGATTAAGACACAAAAAGGACAAAAAAATTAAAGAACTCACAAGACAATTGGAAGGAGTTAAGAAAGTAAATGAAGTTTGCCGGAAGAAATTAAAAAGACTGAATGAGGCAAAAAAAGAAAGCAGTGTAGATATTATGAATGACAAATTGCTACAGTCATATACAGCTCTGAAAACTCACAAAGCCAAGCAAGAGTTTGCAAGGAATCTTCAAGTGAATATAAAAACTACATTAAAAGACAAAGGATGGTTAGGAAAATTGACTAATATTTTTAGAAGGAGGGTGAGCGAGCAGAAAGGATCTAAAGTTAATAAAATACGAGAGGATATTAAGAGATTCCTTGAAGAAGACGAAAACAGCTCTGTTACTGCTGGGAAAAAAGAAACTATAAAGAAAGCTGGTGTAACAAAACAGAGACGCTACGTGACTGATTCCTTGTATCACTTGCACAGAAAATTTTTGACAAAAGTCGATTACAAATTGAGCTTTTCAACTTTTAGCAGATTTAGACCATTTTGGGTTCTTTTTTCATCACAAAAACCCAAGGAGACATGCCTGTGCATTATCCATGAAAACTTTAGACTATTAGTTGAAGCGATGCATAAACACCACATAATTCCTCACAAAAACACCACTGACGTGCTAATAGACATTTGCTGTGACCCTTTCAGTCCTTAATGTTTACTGAGGATGTGCAAAGATTGCAAAGTACGAGTAAAAGTTATTACAAACTTTCAAGAATTTGATAATTCTGTTGATTTTAACTATTGGTCCTGGACATCAAATCTTGAACAAATTGTACAAAGCGGACGGGAAAAGTGTATCAGAGTGATGAAAAAAGAGAAAATCACATTCTGGCCAAGAGACTGTCTCTCTTCCACAAACATTGTGGAAGAGTGACAACTCAGCATAATGCTATTAAGACATTTAAAAACAATTTGCAACCCGAAGAAGCCTTTATTCATGTTGACTTCTCAGAAAACTATAAATGTCAGTATGCTAAAGAGATTCAGGCAGTACATTTTGGTGGAAATAGAAAACAAGTAACTTTACATACAAGTTTATTGTATTTCTTTGACAACGATTATACCAGATTAACCCAATTTTTTGCCACAATAAGTCAAAATTTAAGACATGATGCTGCTGCTGTTTGGGCACACGTAGTTCCTATCCTTAACAAAAGGCACCCCAAATTACGACCCTTCACTTTGTTTCCGATTCTGCCACAAGCCAATACAGAAATTACAAGACATTCTTTGTTATCGGTGCCTTAAAATGGTATAATACTAGTCTGGCCTCATTGACTACACTGAGTCAGGTCATGGCAAGGGGGCACCCGACGGTGTTGGAGGGACGTTGAAACGCACTGCTGATGCAATTGTTTCCCGTGGCCACGATATTCCCGATTTCGACAGTTTTCTCGATGAATTAAAAAGTAAGGTGAAAAATATCGTAATTAAAGTAGTATCGGGTTACGATAATGTAGAAAAAGATATACTGTTACCTACTGATCTCCGTCCTTTCAAAGGGACCCAACAAGTTCACCAAGTTATTTGGAATGACAGCGATAAGTATCAGGTGACAATGCGAAACCTAAGTTGTGTTGAAAAAGCTTGTATTATTCAGCCTCGCTGCGGTAATCACGTCAAATATCTTGGCTTACATGTCCTTAGGCCCGATATTTTGTCTAGCTCTGCCGATTCAGACCCAGCTGATGAGATAGAGAATACTGATCAATCAAATATATTTTCTTCTGTAGTTCCTTTACACAGATCTTACGCATTTTGTGTTACGAGTGAAAACAATCCACCGGAAGAACTTAGGTCTGAAATTGTGAGTGAGGCATCAGATGTGAGATCTGAATTCGCTGAATTATGTTTTTCAGAGGAAATGATCAATGTTCAGAATTTGATGACTGTGGATTCCATTAATTTACCGGAGGCTGACAATGGATTGCACTTGACGAACCTCTTGCTCAGCAATCTTCCTCGGATTTGACTGATCTGGCTGTCACTGCTGACTCTTCTGAAACTACAAGATCTGCTCGTGACATACCTTTTTTCAGCTACCATCTCCTGATATGGCTGTGTCGCTTTCCTCTGTTCATCATCCTGAAATTGGTTCTACAGAGCATGCAACAAATTCTCTTACCTGCTTGAAAACATCATGTTTGTTAATTGCTAAACCTTCAACTTCCAAATGTGTAAGTTCACAACTAAAAGCAGGACCGTCTAAAAGTAATAGAAAGACGGGAAATAAAGGAAAAAGAAATATTAAAAAAATGAATCCGAAAAAAACGAGTGCATCGACGAAAACAATGTCCATGAAGGTGATTGGGTAGTGGTAAAGTTTGTTTCCGAGAAAAAGAAAATACGTCGTTATGTGGGCCAAGTTATCAATGAGAGTCTTGCTAGCCTTAATATAAAATTTGCCAGAAAAATTAATGACAGAAGATTTAAATGGCCAGAGAACCCGATATGCGCGATTGGAAAATATCTAGTGATTAAAAAACTTCCACAACCTTATTTCAAATCCTCCTCTAAAAGGATAGGAGCATTCGAATTTCCTAAGTTACTAAGTAAATTGAACATTGATTAACTTTACTTTAATTTTATTTCAAGAACTTAAACTTTAACTTTCTTTTGCATTTTGAATTTTAGAAGTAGGTATATATTGTTTTATGACTTTCAGAAGAGAGAATTGTTATTGTGTTTTTAAGAATAATTTTATTTTTTGTTACTGATTTGTCGCTTTAGTTTACAGAAGATAGAAAAGTTTATTTCCCTTTTATTTTCACATAAGTAGGTAAATTAAAAATAATAAAACCTTGACTTGACTGAATAATTTAATTATAATAATAATTTTGACACTTAAATGTTATTTATGAAACTGTTTCAGAATCAGATTAATTGTGAAACTTTATAATCATGGTTTAAATACGATTTTTTGTTTAATAATAAAAATATTTGATTGTGGTTACGGTTTTATTTACGATTATTGCCCGTTTTATAATTCACCTGAAACTTTTCTAATTTAACCTACCAGTGTCTAATTTAACCTGCCAGTTTCTAATTAACCTGCCTTTTACCTCCTAGAAAATTGGTTATTCCTGGTTCCATTGCAGCCAAAAGTACACATTTTGACATAATAAATTAAATAAGGTATCATATAAATCACATTCAATCATTTTTTTACTTTTGTCAAAAACGGCAATTTTTTGAAAACTACCGCTTTGCGTTCGTGGATTTGTACTGTGACCACAACATTCTTCCGGAATTAGTATAACTAATTTCATAAATAATCAGTGCATAAAATGTTTAACTAAAAATTCAGTGTATGTATTATGATTATAACATAATATACTAATTGGGGTGTCTGAGGGTGTGCGTTAATTACGTTACATATTGTATAAACGATAAAAACCACAGTCGCCTACAGTTCAATGAAACATGGGCGTTGTAGTGTTTTAGGATGCCAAAGTGATAGTGAAAAGAAACTACTTACTGGGATTGTCTTTTCATTAGGTAACTAAGTAAGTATTTGGTGTTTGATTAATGCATTACCCACAAATTACCCCCTAATAGATACCGCATCATGGAATATTTGTTCTGTTTCGATTTCACCAAATTTCGCGGCATGCATGAGTTGCGGGGGACGTTTCAAATGCGCTGTGATTGGTTAATTCAAGGTTGAACTTAAAATGCTCCGAACCACAGGGTTGGGACGTTGATGAATAAATTTGGGATTTGTTGATTATTGATAAATAAATAGATTGATCAATTTTTGTTTGAAATTTATTAAAAAATAAAACAATGTATGTAAATAATACAATTTATATACTTACGTACATGTAATCTAATGATTTCTTAAATTTACGCGAACACTATACATGGAATAAAACTATGTATACGGATTTTATCGCGTTTATTTAACTTATGGTCACGGTGAGGGGGGGGGGTACTGAGATGCTTTTTTTATTATATGCGAGCAGCTATGCAGGTCTAGGTAAAGAGACCAGTATCACTGCGACCTAAAAGATTTATTGTGATCGCTGCTATGGCTATAGTTCACGGCTAAGCCCTATGTCTTCAATGAATAGAAGGAGTTGCTTAGCCGTGAGCAATTTCACTTCTTCTGGGCGGAGTAGATAGTTTCCCAGATGAGTATTACGTTTGCGCATTAAGGGTCCGCAATCAGTTAGGATGTGTAGAGGCGTTTCTTCCGTTATGGAACAGAACCGACACATCCTTGAGTTGCATAGTCCCAGGATGGACATATGCTTTTTAAGACAACAGTGTCCAGTTAGGGCTTTTGCCAGAATGCACAATTTATTTTTACTTAATCCCAGAGCTTCTGAAGCGAATTTACGATCAAAAGCTGGGTTTAGGTTTAAGGTTTTAGAATGTTTTAAGCCTGGTGTGTCAGACCAGATCTTAAGTGATTTATTGTGATAAAGAGTTTCAAGGGTCAATCGGGCTAGGCTTCTTGAGATTCCACAAAATGGCTCAGGTCCAAATTGTGTGCACTTTGAGCCCTCCCGTGCAAGTTTGTCGGCAAATTCGTTGCCTACAATACCCTCGTGACCCGGAACCCATCTTAAAACGACCCTGTTGTTACATCCCAGGGAGTTTAAATGGTTCATGCAGTCTCCAACTAGCTTTGAGTTCACTAAGTTTGATCTCAGCGCTAGCAGTGCTGCTTGACTTTACTGAGATGTTTTTGGTCCGATCTACATAGAACGAGCTTACAGTATCTTGAAGTCTTGCAAGAAGTTGTATTTTAGAGTTTATGGAGTTAAGGTGGTCTAAGAATGCAGTTGCTTTGTCAGATGGTAAAATTGTGAAAGTGTCGTCTAGGTACCGCTTGCAGAATCTTGGATTTACGGGAGCAGTAAGAAGGGCTTTCTCCTCAAAGTCCTCCATGAATATGTCGGCGACTATAGGAGATACAGATGAGCCCATCGCCACACCATCAACGTGCTTGTAGAACTCTTCCTTCCACAATAGATAGCCAGATATAAAGCTGTGTTTGAGTAATACTGCATGTTCTGCAGGCATGTTGTTATCTTCTAGCTTCCTAGTTACAATTGAGATGCAGTCTTCAATAAGTAGGCATGTGAATAGTTACTGAACACCAAAACTGACCATAGTTTCATTGTCAGCGATATGTAGGTCTTTTATTTCACTAAAGAAATGGTGTGAATCCTCTGTGTGTGCTCTGGTATGTCCTCTCGGTGGAGACAGTATTTTTGCCAAGTGTTGTACCTAAAAGTAGTATTATTAATTAATAAACCATACGGTACGTGTTTTTAAAATTTAGATGTACTTAATAGTAATAATAATAAGATATTACAGAAGTTTATGTAACACTAGAGTAACAATATAACCTTATAACTTTCACTTGTTTTATGATTTATAAATTCGTTAAAAATAATTTAACAAATCCGTTAAATAGTGTAACATTCGCCTAAATATTCGAATATCACGTTTAAATCAACCACTTAATGCTATTACTTATTGTGTAATCTGCATTGGTACTATACTTTAAAAAAAATGTAAAAGTCTATACTAAAACTGGCAAGTATAGAGATGGTGTAACGGAACCCAACAGCCTTCTACGGTTTTTCATAATACGAAGATTGTCTTCTGTGAAGTATCTTGAGCATAGCACACTAGTTTTGGTAGGAAACTATTGGTCCCCTCGACAAGTAGCATCGATCCACATCTTTTTCCTTTTTGGGAATTTAGGAAATCTATAACATATAGGTACCACAATGATACACCACTATTTTTATAAAATAATGACTTTAAAAAAATGTTAACGATGACCAAACAAATATCTATTTATAAATCACAACACTATCGATGCACGTGCAGTCGTTAGACAAAGACAAATACTCTAATTTATGTAATGAGTGAAAGGAACATATCAAAAAGACATCAACGAGTGCTGATGATAACAATTGGTTATCATTTTGCACCATTATATTACCACTATAAGTTGAACTCCGGTGCATTTGAAATAGGTTAACGTGATAAGAATGAAATTTACTTACCGATGAAGTGCTGTGCCATCTGTTTGATAACTGGATGTCTTAGCGGACTCGCCACACTACTTTACTGCACAGGAAGCCATTTGTAATGTATTTTGGATACAAGACTATTTTTAAATTATCAGAAACTCTACGGGTCACACTGATGGACACTGGTCGACACTGATATCGTGAATCTTAGCGTTACTTCGTATGCTAGCTACAGCATGCATGTGTTGCGCGCGTTTGTGGCCCTGTATGCGGGATCTATTAGGGGTAATCTGTGGCATTACCCTTTGTTTTATACGTTGTATTCTATATTCTATGTAAAACATGTGTTATGTAAAGAATCAAATTGCATTGGAATGAAGTAATTTAAGATTTTATTCTAACCTATTTTGATTGGTGTTGCCTAGTTTTGGGGCAATCCTCCGACATAATGAGGAGAGCTTTAAGTTTTGACTGAACGAAGGGATATCATCATCATCATCATTACAGCTCTTCACAAGTCCACTGCTGAACATAGGCTTCCCCCAAGGAATGCCACAAAGCACGGTACTGAGCCACCTGCATCCATTTACTTCCTGCATGTCTTACCAGGTCTTCACTCCGTCTAATGGGGCGTCGCCCTATACTACGCCTACCGGTACGCCCAGGTTCTCGACCTTTTTTCCCCATCGGTTGTCGGTTCTTCGAGCAATTGGTCGGCCCATTGCCACTTCAGTCCAAAGTAACCGACATAGCCTACTGAACACATAGCCAATTGAAGTCTTCAGCTTACTAATCCGTTGGGCTATGTCGGTTACTCTAGTTCTACTGCTATCTACTCTGGATATCAAATCACATACATATACCTAATTTAAGACAGAGAATACCATACTCTGTCTATGCATATAATAGCACTAGCTACTTATATTTTAGTCATAACTATGATGTTTCATTTACCCCCATGATGATGTTTTAAGAA